GAGCTACCATGAGTCATGAACAGGTTGGCAGCCTAGGATGTAAAGTAATTTAAAATTAGGGTGATAATTAAAATTTAGGAAGTGAGCTAGTGGAACACAAAAACAGCTCTCCTGCACCTGAGGTCCAGGCAATAGGCCACCATTCCCCTCAGGTGTCTTGGGGAGCTGCCCGGGGCACACTGTGTTGCACTGCACACCATGAGCAATTTCTTCCAGTAAAGGAAGCCTGGATGTGGCTCGTTTTGAAAATGTAACCCACTGGTGCCACTGTGTCGGGGCCAGAGCATTGACAAGGCTGACATGAGGCACTATTTTTGCAGAAGAATTACCTATTCCTTAAAGCATGACAAAACCCTGCCAGCTCTAAGACTGTGTCCATATTCAGAAAGATTYGCAAAGCAACTCTTTCCTGGCCATAAGAATCACCAAGCTTCAGACGGTTCCAAGGGAATTTTTTTTAGGAATGTATGGTGCAGAAAGTGTCAGTACGATCTGCTGAGGCTCTTCAYTCTTTCAGTTCAGCTGTCGACTCCTCGGGGAAGGGAGGGTGACACAAGACACTTCAGAAGCTCCACTTGGGGCTCTTTAAGGCTTTTAGAAGACCTTCCCTGGCTGTGTCCTTGGCTGAATGCCTGCAGAGGACACTGGAGAAGGCAGYTCTCCATGAGCCCTTTCCTGCCCACGTGACTCTGATTATCCTGATGCTGGGGACGAGGGGCTCCTTCCTCAAGGCCACCCCWGGCAGACTCCAGCAGGAGCTGCCAGACACAGAGCAAATTCTCCACTTGCCACTGCTACTCTCTGTAATGCTACCATGGCAMATCATGAAACAAAAGGACATACTCCCCCCTCTCCATTTTCATAAAGCTGTCCCTTTCCCCAACAACCATGAAAAGGAGCAGCTGGAAAGACAGAACATGGTGTGTCTTTATTGTACTTCCTTAAAAAACATCAGCGTTTTCCCAGGACTACACAGTAACTACAACTGTTAACACTGCATTCCTGAATGTGTTCCTAAGTGTGTCTCAGCCATGTTACTGAGATKCATTAGATGGCATTACTCTTCTGGAGCAGCACTGTCACTCTCCAAAAGCTCTTTGATCCATCACTGTGCATGCCCTTTGTAATGATAATTTAGTAAGAGAGTCTGGTACTTAATAATTCAGTTTTAGAACTTCCTCTTTGTGTGTGCTGTGGCTTTTGTGTGCTGATATGAAATGGCACCGTTTCAAAATAAAATCGTGCTCTTGATATTTCAGATACTGCAGATAAGTTTAAACACTATTGCCTGTTTACAGCTTTATTTTCTGTATTTAACATGATACTGCATGGTTGGCAGTTCAGAGATCAATGTTCGCTGATGAAGCCTGGAGGAGCTGCTAGAGAAGAAGCAGTAGCTTTTTGTACCTGCCATTTACCAGTGTCCCTTGGACYTGACCTCTTGCATCCAATTTATAGAGCAAAAGGTTAGGGAAGCTGCCAGGTCTGCTCTGGGTCGTGCCTCTTCACTGTGATGACCAGAGTGGGACTATTTTTCTCCAACTTGGCTACGGACATGGACGAACTTTTCAAACCCGAGAAATTAAACTGGAGCAAAACTGCTTTCAGAAATACCATTTTCTGACCAGCCTGTTAGTTGGCTTTTAAGCTGCTGAAATCAAAAGGTGAGGTGGACTGTACATTGCTGCCAGACCTACAGGTTATCAAATAACCCCTCTGAAAAGTATTTTCTGTCATGGAAACAGGAGGAGGGCAAGGAAGCTGGGGAAGGATCTGGAGCACAAATCACATAAGGAGCAGCTCTGGGAGCTGGGGGTGTTTGGTCTTGACAAAACGAGGCTCGGGGTGACCTTTTCACTCTTTGCAACTCCCTGAGAGGAGGCTGTAGCCAGATCGGCCTCTTGTCTTAGGCAACCAGTGACAGGATGAGAGGGCCTGGCTGCAAGCTGTGCCCGTAGAGGCTCAGGTGGGACATAGGAGGCATTTCTTCATAGAAAGGGTGATTAGACATCGGAATGGGGTGCCCAGGGAGCTGGGATCACTGACCCTGGAGGTGTTTAAGGGAAGACTGGATGTGACACTCAGTGCCATGGTCTGGTTGACATGGTGGTGTTTGGTCATAGYTTGGACTGGATGGTCTCAGAGGTCTTTTCCAACCTAATTGATTCTGKGATTCTGTAATGCCAAATCCAGTCTTAAKACAAATTCCTGCATGTGTTCTGCAGAAGCATTTCTTACAGGGGAATGGTTGGGTAGCCCCCTGGCCTTCTCCATTCTTGTGACTATTTTTTCCAGTTCCTGTCGGGTCGACTGGCACAGCACGTGGTCTGAGTCTTGCTGGTGCCGTAAGTTACCCTTGTACAATGTACAAGAATAATTTTGTGTCATTCAGTTTCAAATTTATATGAATTACAGCCTATTAGAATGGTGTTTTAAACATGAAATGGAGAATTAGTGTTACATGCCAGAAATTGATCCTAAATATGAATGAGAATGTCTGACTGCAGATGACCAGCTKGGATAAGGAATTTTCTGAACCAAAAGAAACATAACTTGACATGGTCTTACTTTTCCCGCCTTCTGAAATAAGAGGACACAATACCTAGAATAGTACCCAAATTTTGTTTGGAACTCGCTTTCTTGAAAACTGTCCAAGAAAGTAGTAATGTACAGGTAATGTGAGAGCAGGGGCCCCAGGGCCTGCTCCTGGGTAATCTGAATGCAGAGGATCAGTTTCATGAGGGGTGCACAGGTCACGT